ACGATAATCTGTTGCTGCTTTTTTTTTAGGTTTGCACTTTATGCATACCTGGTCAAGACGATTTCGTGGCAAATTCGTGTAGTATGTCACAAGCCATTTCAAGATTGTTCCTAGTAATACCGAGAGCTCTAATCACGGCGTCTTGTGCGAATCCGAGAGCCGTCAGCTTGGAAATGTGTTCGACGTTCACGTTCTCGTATGCCGCGGATTCTGGCTTAGAAGAACCGGTGGGATTGTCCTTACCTCTCATCAGGGCGGACAATCGAGCTGTATTCGCTTCCAGATTAATGTTCCTCACGACGTGTTGTCTCGTACCGGGTATCACGATCGTGTTCTCGTAATGGTGATCCTGTCTGTTGTGCTCTTTGCTGGTTGCTTTTGGAGGTCGTGGCACCGACAATGGTGGTGGAACCGGTGGCACATTATTGCTAGACGTAATTTGGCTGGTCATCGCCGAAGATCCGCCACTGATACGACTAGATTTCTCAGGTAAAGTCGGCGGTGGTTGCTGTTGCGTTGTGGACAAATGATTTCCTTGTGATCGACGAACGTGACTTCTGACTACTGTAAATGGTGCAGAAGGTGGCATTGGAGACGGTGAAGAGGCACGATGTAGCATATCGTACCCTGTTTCGGAGTTTACTGGTAAAATAAAACAAACATCGATGTTATAAAGCAACTTAATTAGACAGAATAGAAAGGAATAATTAACATCGCAACAAATTCTGTTTCTCTAAATTGTTTTACTTTTTATTGCTTACTGTTATTATTTTGCTGATTGTCAGTATTAGAATTGAATGTCGTTTGAGCTGTCGATGAAGGTGGTGGTGGAGCATTCTCTTTTGGAACAGTTAACAGACGACCATTCCTCAAATGATTATTTGGCGTGGGGGATGGAGAGGGTCGTCGAGGAGGTAGCGGCGGGCTTGGCACAATTCTTCGTGTCGAAACTGGCGAGTTTGTTGGACTGGAATCTTCTTCTTCATCCGAATCGTAACACATCAATCCACAGTGACCATTACACAAATCCATGATTTCCTAAAACATTAAAAATAAACGAAAAACATGCATTAATATCTATGACATAGGCCAACAGAAATAAGATTGTTTTAGTCTGATAACGTTTGCTATTATTTAACGCAAGAAGACGCATAATTGCGTAGAAAATATATTTTATTCGATTCTGATTTTAAGTAATGATAAATTTGTTAATGATTAATAAAATTCTATAATCGAATAAATCTTTTTAAAACTATATTGAGTAAACAAGAATCGTTTAAATTAATATAAAGAAAAAGAATGTAGCAAAAAAACCTGTATGAGAAAGAACATCACAATTAAGAACGAGCATAATTACAAAGCGATAAAGCAGAAGGTCATAATGCATTTATTCACTTACCTGCGTTCAATGAGTCAAAATAAATTTCCTTCGGCTATGTACATTATCGATTAGTTTTCGATCATGCAGCGGGCAGAGCAATGGACCCAGTAGATAACATTATGAAATAAAGATAAACGATCATGCGAACGATATAACGATGTAACACCTTGGTTCATTTTCAGTAGTTCCCTGTTGCTGGAACACTGATTCAATAGGCGTGGAAATTAGAATCCAGCAAAAGGGATGCATGTATACAATATGCAAAAGTAACACGATGTAATGATAATACAATTTTATTAAAAAAAAAAGAAAAGAAGATAGAAAAAGAAAAAACGAAAAGAAAACAAAGAACATATTTCTCAGATCCCTAATATCTTACAATGAATAGGAAGAAATGTACGCTACAATTTGTAATGTTTATGAATTATTTATTTTAGACCTCTTTCATTGCTGGATATGCACAGCATGAATGGATCTAAATGACTGATCAATTAGCAGCACTAGTCATTGTACAAATTACGCTAATGGATACACGTGAACGCAGTAAAAAAATCTATCTTTAATTTTAAGTTTTTAGTGCAACATGTCGTAGACTTTGTTTACTATCTATAGATTCGTAGATATAGGGATACGTGATACTACGCTTAAGAAATTATTACTCCCCTTTTTTAGATTACTAACTGCCAATTTATACCTTAAAAAAATATAAATTTTATTTTTATGGTGAATTCGACTTTTTAATTGCTCTTGCATGCATCAATGCATACAGGATCTACAGCAGTAAGGTATTGAAAAAAAGGAAAGGGAAGATGATAACGTATATACCACAGCATCAAACTTCGGCATGAAGTGCTACCATACAATCACTGGTATAACTCCTTAAAGTTCATTTTATGCGTGAATAGAATAAATAATAAATATTTTAAAGTAAAGAAAAATAATAACATCTTTTCCCTGATAAAGATGTCGCATGTTATTACATTGTTTCTATCGCCAACAGGTACATAATTAATTCTAATAAAATACAACGAATGAACGACTGTTCATCCATGGGTTACGTAGCATTCCTATTGCTCGATGTAAGCAACGTCATTTCCGTTGGAAGATCACTCTGTTTTATATATCTGCCTCTTATTTCTTAGTACTACAAAAATCACTATTTCCTTTTGTTCTATACTTTTACCATGTCATTCCTTATATTCGTGAACATAATTCGATATACACATTAATAAAAAACCAATTAATAAAAAGAATTTAAATTTATATCAAACAAAACACGAAGCGAGGAGTGTCGAATCAAGGTCTCGTTAAACGGATTTCAGTTACAGCGAAAGATTTCCTAATTGTGCGGACATAACGCAAGTTTATGAACGGGTTAATACTCTGTTGAAAAAATATTGACGTTACAAATCTCTTATTTAATAAATAATGCAATCATATGTAGAGATGAAGCATTCTAACTTCAAGTCTTGTATGCATACACCACAAAGAAGACGCTGCCAGCTATACATTGGCACATGCATTTAAAATATGATTGGTTTCTTGATTAGTCGCGAGCAAAAACCTTTACTCTATTGTACAAATGTGATCCATATGTAATTATTATCGTAAAGTTGATATGGGCATCGACTACAATGTTATCTCTAAATATTATCTGTTTGTCGTAAGTAAAATGTACGTTCCATTATTTTAACTAAATCGTTGCACAGCAAGTACAACATAGTGATGTGTATGTTAAACGGTACGAAGAGTGTGACTGAGTGCAAACGCAGTTGTAGTAATGAAACAAGAACGGTGACTCGTACAATAAGCCCTCGATTTTGTAATGCAAAAAAGCAACCTACCTTAGGGTCTCCATAAACCGGAAGATTTTTTGTAAATTGTGACACATACAAACAAGTAATTTAAAAACACATGTTAGTTTAAATAAACACGTGAACTGTAAAAAACATTCATATTAATCGTTTGTAAACTTAGGCTTTCTCAGAATTATTCTGTGAATCATTCTATATACAAATAATGCAAAGAAAAAAAAAAAAGAAAAAGAAAAATGAAAAGAAAAATAGAAAATACAATTCCAACGAAGCTTATATAGAGACAAAAAAGTTGGTCCCTTTTTACATTATTTACTTTCCGAAATATTAACTTTAGTAAGTTCGTCATTATATTTAAACTTGCATACCTCATAAAAGGTATCACGTTTGATGATAATTCTATAAATGACATGACATGACAATCGTACAAACTCGAGATCTCACATGAATTGCATGAAGCATTCTTTAAAAATGGGGTGTGTTGCTAGAAGTTGTTATACATAGAGCACACTTAATGTAATGAGGGTAGGTGCTACTCCTAGTCGGATACCTCGGTGTCCGGGTCAAGATCCCGTGTGGGAGTCGACGCATTACTAGCAGATGCTGATTGTGTTCCCGGTCGATGTGTTCTTCGTGGATCGAACGGATCGATTACTATTTGTTCAGTCCCTTTAATTTCAGCTCGACAAAATGGACAACCTTGTCCCTCAGAATCCTACAAAAGTATTTACTTGTTTTTATTCTTACGGTATTTTCTTGCAAACAATTCGAAAATATATAGATTAAGTAAAATATTAATACCTGCCAAGCTGTGAGACATGGAGTACAAAGAAGATGTCCGCAAGGTTCTATCCTCACATCTTTGTCATTCTCTGCACAAATTTTACATAATTGGAATGTACTACCCATTTCGCAATATAATTCGTACTGTTCTGCTGTGACTTTTATGTGTTCTTCAGGAGTGGGTTGAACTGCCCATGTTAAATCTGGATTTATATTACGGCCATCAGGGTATAAGTAGCTAAAAACAAATTATTAAGTTTAATTAGAAATTTTAAACTAGTAATTTTTTATAAGTAAAGAAATAGTGTGCTTACAATCCTTCCCTATATCCATCTAGCAGTGCTTGACAAAGACTTTTATTGTGAGGTATTGTTTGGAGGATATCGCCATCCGATGTAACATAACCAATAGCCCACTGTCCTAACCTCGTGCAACTTAGTCTGAATACATAACTTCCAGGTCTAGTACTACAATACTTTTGTAAACGTGCTTTCACTTCGTCATAAGTAAGAAAAGCTACGTATCCAGGATGTGTCACAGCCAGAATTTTCCAGTTACGAAGAAGTGTAGACCATGGTTGAAATAACCTATAATAATAAGTAAATTTATTATAATTATATAAGACAAATCGCTTTCTATGTTTACAAACTTACCTCGTAAATACATCGAATTCAAAGTTTGAGATATAATCATTGCACGTGAGATCTATCGTCGACTTTAATGCCATGGCTTGTAATCCAGAACTTATTGGATGAACTTCGTTTAACTTGTCTTTGAAAACTTTCCATGGAACCAGCGTACTGAAAACATATATAAAAGTGACTTTTTAGTAATATATGTACAAACAATACCACTCCAATAATACGGTCCTAACCTAACAACTAACTGATATTACATTATTTACAGCATACACAGTTATTGTAATCTAGATCATTATAATTAATAAAAATGAATTTGATGTCATTTTTCCTTGTTACAAAATATTGAGTAACCGGTTCGCATACAGGTGCATATTGCGCCTGTATGGGAGCCAATAAAAGCTGTAAGTTCATAAATGATACGCCAGTGTAAAGACAGAGCTCTTGGAGTGCAGTTCTATCCCTAGTTTTCTCTTTGCGACATTTGACTACATATTGCTGGTAAGGTTCATTTAGTTTCCCTTACAAACGTTATATTCTCAAGTTTCATAATCATTTCATAAACACCTCCATTACATCGCACAAGAAAATCCAAAATTAAAACAGAATGATTAGGCGCAAAATATCACAACTCATGCAATTCATTGAGGTTTATCCAGTGAACGACAGATGGCAATCGATTTAAGCTTGCCGTAAACATTGTCAAAAAATATTCACTTCATCGTTTTACTTTATTCTATTTAATACATTATTTCAAATATGATTAACTTTTACTGCGATTATGAAAAATATTACATAATTCGTACAAACAGCACAAGTTTACTCGGTTGAAGTACCATATAGCTTATCACATGTAATCCAAATAATCAGTTGATTATAATACAATAAATAGAATGATGATTTTACGTTTTGTTAAGTTACAAAATAAATACAAATAGTGCTTATATAAAACTTTTCATAATATAAGATGTAGTGTTTGTACTGAAAAATTTCAGGAACATAGTTGTGCGTCTTTATTGACTTCCTCACCCATATATTGTACAACGAAGAATGAATATTTTAAAACTACTACTGCCGGTGGGCTTTGTTCAAGTCAGAAATTTTTCAGGCACGTACTACAAGTTTGATATCAACTGTTTCCCTAAACCTGTTGTTTCCCTGTTGCAAGAAATGAAAAAGCTTATTTATATAAAAAAAACACCATTACGACAATATTATTTTGGAAAAAATATCATTTTTGATATAAACACCAAAATCTAGTCATTAACTTCTAGGTGTGCTTTCAAAGAATCTATCTCTTCAAATATTTATTTCATTGAATATTCAAATTTCAACATATCCGGAAAGTCGTGACGCAGCGTAAGTGAAACGACGTACGTCTCACATATCATCTTTACTGAATGCTCGCAGTATCACAATACAGTGTTACACAGATATGCAATAATATCACACAAGAATATTGTAACAATGAAAATAAGATTGTTATAAATACCCCGCTAAATAACATATTCAACTATCATGCTAAATGTAACCTTGTTGCATACGTGATCGATATTGTCTCATGTTGATGGCAATACAATCTACGCATATCTCAAAATCACGAATTATCGTTATATGGCGTAAACATCATTTAGAATGAAAAGCTTTATAATAAAAGATATACCTCTTATATTTAAATGTTAAAAAGATGAAAAGGATGAAAAGTACAATATATAATTTTTATTTCGTGGTGTGTTTTTTGACATTTCTCTCGATAATAATAACAGTGACAAAGCTCAGTAGTAGTAATATCCAATTTACTAATATTATTAAAAAGTATTTTACTTCCCCATGTTTGGTATGTGCTTTTAATATCCTGAATAATTCACTTGTTATGTAAATTACATTTTTAGAATTCGTATTAGATTTTTTTAATACATACATTGAGATATTTTAAACATCGATCGAAATTATTTCAGTTATAGCAGCAACTATGAGTGGGAACGATAATTACAAAGAAGCGAAATCGATTTACGATTTCACTGCTAAATCCATAAAAGGTGAAGAAGTTCCTCTATCCAAGTAAGTAATATATTATGTGTTCATCCATGTTCAGGGACGTGCGAATATATTTTTTACCTACTTACAGTTACAAAGGTCACGTTTGTTTAATCGTAAACGTAGCATCAAAGTGCGGCCTTACAGCCACAAATTACAAACAACTGAATGAACTGTACGATGAGTATGCTGACTCTAAAGGTAAGATATACAAATTATATCCGTTTTATTTTCCGAAACGATTGTTGAAAGATCGTGCTTTTAGGTTTACGAATCTTGGCGTTTCCCTGTAACCAATTTAATGGACAGGAACCAGGAGGTACCGAAGAAATATGCAGTTTTGCCGATCGACAAAAGGTATAGGAATGCGAATCTCTTAATCCGATGAACATTCTACCATTTTGATTTTTATTAAGTACACTATTATATTTTGCTTCAGGTTAAATTCGATATATTCGAAAAGATTGACGTCAATGGAGACAAGGCGCATCCTTTATGGAAATATCTAAAGAAAGAACAAGGAGGAATTTTGGGTGATTTCATAAAATGGAACTTCACAAAATTCATCGTGAACAAAGAAGGCAAAGTGGTTGAACGTCATGGTCCGAACGTGGATCCCAACAGTTTGAAAAACAATTTCGAAAAATACTTCTAAGCATTTTTCTACTATTATTTAATATATATGCAATGATTTTTATTAGTAGCACTATTTGCAATCAATCGATATCGTTAAGAACGATATATGGACTGTGAATTATTCTTATCCATTATAAGCTTTTAGATAAATAGTTTTTTTATTCAATGAAGTTTCTTATTTAGTTATCGAATATTGCACATCTTCTATTTGTAAACAAGTGTTGTAAGTATTGATATTATATCAACGAAGAAATAAATGTTATATCATCAAAAGATCGCGTTTTCAGCACAAGAAGATAATATACTTTATACATGTATAATATATGTACTTGTTACAACGTTCATTTATTAAAATTTTTCATTTCACTACATTTATAGCATTGTTTCGTTTAAATGATTTTACATTTTAGTCGCACATTTTATCAAAAACAATGCTTTGTTACAAGCTTTTCTCGGCGCGTTTTACTTTGCCTCTTTTTATGGTGGCAAATGTCTGTCCCGCGCACTTTTGCGCTACGTCACGAAATTCCTGACCTTGTCTATTTTTAGCGTCATTAGTGTCTTTTATTTAGCCATCAATCTGCAACCCTCTTCTCTCCATCTTTCTTAACATAGTGAAAATCAAACATAGTCAGGCTTGATTCGATGTCACGCGATTTTGCCTGATACGCAACAGCCTGCCCAGGGAAACTGATTCAACGTCCTGTGCTTGGAAAAATAGGTCAATGTATCCCAGGCAGATTCGAGTAACACGATGACATAATTACAGGCCATCATGTCCCCAGCGGGTCAAGGCGAATACTCAACTCGGTCCGTGAAATACTTCTCTACCTATAATGTCCCCCCCCCCCTTTTCCCTTTTTCTCGTAACGCATTTAAAATTCATATTACGAAAATAGACACCTGGCGTGTTCGAATAAGAGGATGAAAAAGAAATAGAAGGAGCAAAAGAAGAAAGAACTACGATTCACGGAGTTTCGTGTCCTTCCTGAATTTCAATCCTGAGCCGCTTTACGTCATCATTAAACTGGGTCACGTCCTCTATTGCAGGAGTACTATCTCGGAATTGAATGTTCCGTGATATATCTGTATTGCACACGCGTATGTATACATCGGCGATGCGTGGCCAACGTACAAAACGAAGCTGAGAGATACTACCGCTACAATTAGTCGTCCTTGCTTGCCGACCGATCCAAACCTCACCTCCATTCATAGATCGCTGCTTTTCCAACGTACCTATCTTTCCATCCGTATGATGTTTTCGATTTCTGTGCAACTACCGCTCCAAATTTAATCGTCAAATCTAACGTCAAATAATTTTACTAATCTTTCATATTTTATAACATCAGGGTAATAGCACGGCTCCTTTTAACAATTTTAACTCGCGATCGATTCTGCGCTGTTATAGAGATTTTGTTAAGGCAGGTACTAAAAATATCGTGCGGTAATATATTAATGATTAGATGACTGAGAACGATGCGATGGTAAGAATCCACGAGCCATCGTTATCACGCAGCTCTTTCGAAATTTATATATCTTAGCGGACAAAAGAAAATCCCGAAATGATCGACAGATAATTGTATTGAACCTTAAAATCCAACAATTCTCAAATTCTCAAATTGATACGGAATTTTGTTCCAGAATTTTACTTTCTCGTTGTTCCATTTGCTTTAACGATGGACGTAGCGCAAAAGGGCAACACGACCCGAACTTGAAATTTGCCTGCTTCTAATTACACCTTTCGCATTCACGAGGTAAAGTTTCTAACCATCGATGGCTAAATGTGATTACGCAATAGACAGCAAAAATATACCCATGGAAAATGTCAGTGGAACGATCGGAGTACATAGCGCGTTTCAAGGATGGTTCGCTTATTTCAAAGGTTTTGCACGCTCGTGTGAATCCGTCGGCTGATTCCCTTGACGATGGATGCCTGTGTTAATCGTATTATCGGTATTATATCGGGTATCACAGTCATTGCTCTACTAAGCCAAGGATGGTTTTAAAGGCGCACACAGAACTACTACGCGTCGTGTGTCCACGCGTTCTTTTATATCCGACCGATATGTAATTAACTTTCAAACACATGCTTGCCTTTAACGTGTAAATGCATCATTGCGTAATCGGTAGGCGCTTTAAATCTCCAAATTATATTTGAAAAACGAAAGAAACAGCTAAGAACAACTAGGAAACGCGGTACTTTACTGCCTGCAAGCATATCGTGTATATAGCATCCCACGGTTAAGCTCTGCAATTATTCCACACCTTTCTACCTCATCGGGAGACTCTTTCGTTCGAAACAATTATCTGCTCGTAGATACGAACGACGCCAAACTCCAGTCCTCTCGCCGATAAGAGATACGATTTACCGAATAAACGAAAGGAAGCAAACACTTGGCTGTTCTGATAAACGTAAGTAAAGAGTAGGATCCCGGTTCGTGGACGCGGCCACACCGATTCGTACAGTTCGCTCCGCTTAATTCGCTTTAATCGCGACGTCACGTCCCCTTCCTTCCGCTTCGGCTCACGTCCGGATGCGAGCTTAACTGGCCGACTACGAAAGGGGAGGAGGGTACAGACCTCTTTGCTCGTAACTCTTCAGACACGGATAGCTGATACGCATCGGTCCTACTCTATCAATGCGGTTCCAACCCCTGCCGACCGGAATTAATATAGTATCCTCCGCTAACAATAAGTATCCTCCGGGACGAGCATGTCTTGCCTTTCACACACCTCCATTTTCCCACCCACGCCGTTAAACGTCGCTAATGATTTTCAACAGTTTGCCTGCCCAACCTATTTTCAATACTTGGTCATTCGTGGGTCTCCTCGAACGAAGCTAGCGCGTTTCTTCGTCTACCGGATTACGACGATTCCTATCTGCTCACCTTCTTCACTCTCGTTCTCTTCTTTCTTCGATTTTATTTCATCTCCTGTGTTCGGGATTTTACTACGTTCTACGCGTTGCACGCTTCGGAACAGAAAATGTATTTGTTTAGCGAGTTATATCGCGTAATTCTTCAAAGTTTACATTGCCTTATTCTGTGCGAAAGTTAAAAAGGAAGGTCGAGTCGTAAAGCTACCCCCGCAAAGATATTTGTATATCGGTCATAAAAGAAGCGTTTTTCATTGCTTGGAAACGCAATATGGTTGCAATGATATTTTCTTTTGTTCCATTCGATCGAGGTCTTTTCTCTCGAACAAGAGACCTTCGAGGGCGAGAGAACACTGCATCGTACTGTAAAGTCGAACGAGGCTCGCAAACGCGACATATTGCATCCGCGTCGACGCCCTCTTTTCAAGACATCAGATCCGCTGTGCACCTGATACCCGATATCTCAAGAATAAACAGAGGCGTGCAAACATCGGGATTCTTTCCAACGGAATTCCAAATATATCGATCGCTTCGACGTCGCATCGGTCGAATTAACGCGTTCCTCTCTTTCTACCTTTAGTTTTAGAACGGATGCCGTAAGTCGATGATTCACGCTCTTTCTTCTGACTCTATCTAAACGTTTGATACACCGCTACGCCGTATAAAATATAACGCACGAAAGTCGCTGTGAATATTGGCCACTTTGTCCCCGAAGAGGACAGAGACTCTGGCGTTCAATTATTTTCACCAGAGGGGAAAAGGGAACCGGAGATACGTTAATGAAATAATCGTAGGAGACGAAGAAACCGGAATGTTCAACCTCGTTGAATTCCATTCTGCCTCACCACTTTTTTCTCATATGGCTTTCCCAACCCACATCCGGATGTATCGTTATAAGTATACATCGTAGTGAAAGAGCAGAAGAGAGAAGATTCTGCCCCCCAGCTCGAGCCAGCACAAAGTACAATCCTTCGCGACTATAGATTACAGAACGGTGCAACGAATCCACTACTATCCTCCCATCTCCTCTCTCTGTGTCACGGATAGATGACTTCGGTCTTCTTTTCGATAAAAGCTCATCCCTTGCCACCGTTTCCGGTATACTCGTCATTAAAAACATCCATTAACAAGTCGAGGATACGTTCGCACGCGAAACGTGGATTTCATTTCGTCCGAATACATTAGCGTGTTACGAATCGATGCGCCGATAAAGGAAAACACGAGTTTGGAATTACAGAAAAAAAAAAAAAAAAAAAAAA